GATGTAGCAGATCACGTGTGTCACAGATTATGCAGCCCAGCAGTTTCCCAGCTCAGGGCAGGCTGGTCCCAGCTCGGAGCTGCAGGATTATGCTCATCCCCTGATTCAGCATCATTGATTTTTACACAATGCCCAAAAAAGGAGGAAAACACACACCCCACATCGCGCACAAGTTCGGGCATGTTGCAGCTGAGAGTCATCTGGCCCTCGAGAGAAGGGGAGACTCGGGTGAGGAGGCGGAGGACAGGTGATTCTGGAGCAGCAACGGACGAGCGGGAGCAAGCCCTGCAGCGCAGCCAGAGATGCCAATGAGTTGGCGATCCTGGCAGGATTTCACACAAGGGGCAATAATGCACATTTTCACAGCTCTCAGTATTTATTTTCACGAGAAGAGGCACGCTCTTCTTGCAGGAGGCTCCCCTTGTTATGAGCAGGTTCCGAGCGGAAGCCCCACTTTCATACCCTGCAGCAAGCGGGAATCCAGCCCCCCGGGCAGCTGCTCGGGGCCCTTCCCACCGCTGAGCCCTCTGTGAGCCAAGAGGACATGCAGCCCGCCGTCCCGTGAGGTTGGCCATGTCTCTCCCACCGCTGCTTCAAGGCACGGCAGCCCCCTGCCTCCCCCTCCCCAGGCCAGAAGAGAGGAAATGGGGGGGAGGCTCCCTGCCCAAGAGCTGAGCTCCTGGATCTGGGCAGAAGGGAAGGGTCACCCCCGAAGAAGAGAGTCTTCTCCTAGGGAGTGTCTGCTCCCCTGGTGCCGCGCAGGGCTGGCAAGTGGTAGGCTGGAAGATGGAGCCAGGGTGCCTGCTGGCTGGCTGCTGGCCCCAACCACAGCCACTTCCTCCTGCCAGGTGGGCCTTGCCCCCTCCTGGCACCAGGGCCGCTCGGTAAACACACAGGTTCCTGTTGATATCACAAGGGAACATTGAGGTCTGATTGCAACTGTGGGAAAGGTGACACTGGCAGTTAGACAGGAAGTTGGAGGCCAAGCCCAGGCCGCAGCTGAAGTCCACCGTGCCCTGCAAGCTCAGCACGCATGCCAGGCCCAGCCACCTTCCTCAGCTGCAAGCAGGGCCTGAGCTCGTCCACCACGGCTCTGGGACTGGGGTGGCCCTCAGAAACACGGCCCTGGTTCCCAGCCTCTCTGTCCGAGGGGGTGGACAACTGTTGGCCGGTTGAAGGCCCCCCTCCTGTTTCTGCACAGGGTGGGGGGATGGCATTAGGGGGCCCAGGCAGCAGATGGGCTGTGTGGGCTTCAGGGTTGGGGCCGTTGCTTTGCCATGGATCGATTTGGTCTTCCAGTCTGGTGGGCTTCATACACTGATTTGCCCGGGGGCCACGAAAGGGGTTTGGGGGCCCATAGAGCCCATGAGCTGTGGGGTCCCCCCTCTAGGCTAGTCCTGGTTGCCATTCCCCCGCCCCCCAGTACTGAAGAGGCTGTTTTCGATGGGAAAGCAGGGTGGAGCTCCGGACTGGGCGCTTGACTGGGGCAGTGAGACTCCATTGCGCGCCTGTTGGATTTCACACCGATTGAGAGAGCGCTGCCTGGCCGGCTCTGGCCCGGGAGAGTCGTCCGCTCCAGCCTCAGCCAGTTGTTGTCAAGATGTACCGCCAAGGTAAATGTTATTACCCTGTGTTTTGAAGCTTCGTTGCTTTTAAAGAATCGTTTCCATGAGAAACCAGCTTTGCAAACACACCTCACAGAGGAGGCCAGAGGTGAAAGGAATAATAGGCACATTCCTGCAACATGACACATGTGCACGCACACACCGGGTTAACTGTTTGCCTGCTGCGGCTGCCATGGAGCGGCCTCTGGGTGCCGTGGGACGCCGATCCTTGGTGCTCCTGCCAGCCCCAATCCGCCTTCCCTCGGCTTCTCCCCTTTCTGGCCGCGCGCACCCCTCCCTCCCCTCTGGGAAGGGTTTCAAGCAGCAGTGCATGATGGATCCCCGATGCTCAGACAGCCATCGATCATGTAAATGGAGGAAACGTGCCCTGGAATGGGCTTTCCATTCATTATTTCAGCCTGCTGGAATTTAATTTTCTTTTAATTTGTTTTCTGTTGTGTTTAACTGTTTTAAAACTGTTAAATAGCCAGGAGTTGTAATAGACTAATAGGAGCAACTGCTGCCATGCCCGGAAGATGTTTCTTGCCCTGTTCAGATCCTCTCCTGCTGCGTTTTTTACAGAAACCCACGCTGCCCTCCCCGCCCCAGGCATCCTTGCACTGATCTCCCCATCCCTGCCCAAGTAAAGGGACCCTGTCGGCTGCCGCCCTCCAAGGCCAAGCCTGGGGCTGGTCTCGGGCGAGGGGAGGGGAGGGGAGGGGAGGGGAGGAAGGAGCGTGGCTGAGTCTCGCAGGCGGCTCGTTCCTCTGCCTCCGTCCAGGCAAAGTATTTTGCATCCGATTCAAATCTGCTGAGCCTCAGACCAACCGCCAGGAGCACGGGCAGAAGTCAGGTTTGGGGGGAGCCGCAAGCTCTGGGAGCTGGCTTTCCCGTACTGCTGAGTCTCATTTGCTTGCTTTCTTCCCAGGCCCCGGCCTCAAGGAAGGGCAAAGCCCGGAAGTGCCATGGGGCGCAGCCTACTGTCCCGAGGATGGGAAAGGAAAGAGGTCTCTCTTTTTCCCTGGTGCCTCAGGATGCCCAGGGAGGGTAGGCATCCGATTTCTGCCCCCACGGCCAGCCTAGTTATGGGCGAAAGGAATCGGGTGGCAAGGCCGGCCCTCTTCTGCTGCCCCAGGGAGATTCTGGTCGGCAGCTCGCAGGCACCAATTTCCACGGAAAGAGGGCTCATGGAGTGCACAGGATGTTTGGCAAGAGCGTGGGTGTGTGTTTTCACTGAGCACCCTTGTTCACACTCCTCTTCTTACCCTGGGTGTCTGCCTGAGGTCTCTGCCTTGTTTCTCCCATCGCAGCATGTGGGGCCCAGCTGCCAAGGCCAGGAAGTATCTTGCTTGGGGGGCAGGAGGTGTGCAAAGCACACTCGCCAGCCCAGGAGTGAGAGGACGGAGTACCCTGGAGGGCACGCGAGTGGACAGGGCCTGTCCCGCCGGGGCAATAATGGCTCTCCTGTTATCCTCCCTCGCAGCTACGTTCAAGAGCATTTCGAAAGACCTGATCTCAAGGACAGACTTGGTTTTGGCAGAAGCCTAAAGGCGAGAGTGGCTGGAGGAAAACGTTCTCCCTCCACCCACCAGTGAGGGTCCAAGGCTGCCTGTCCTCCATTGCCTTTCCGGGGAGACCTGGGCTGCCTGCCACGGCCTGGCTTCCATGCCAGATGCCGGGGGTTGGAGTGGAGACCCTCAGCCGCAGCAGGAGCAGCAGCCTCACCGAAGAGCTGGAAGAGTGGCAGTGCCAATTAGCAGAGAGAAACCCCTGGGAGGACCCAGAGGCAGCCGGGGTAGTCTCAGGGCTACGGCGGGCAGGTGGGCGGGGAGGGAGGCCCACCCCAAGCCTCATCCTAAGAAGGGCCCAGAAGCCTCACCCAGGACCACTGCTTGTGTCTGAAGCATTTGAGAAGTGGGCTCGGAAGCATCTGCCTTTTAATCACCTTTGTCAGCTGGAAAAGGTGCCCCCATCTCCTTCTGATGCCAGGGCCAGGAGGGGCTCCTTTTCTGCAAAGGGTCTATTCCTGATCTCTGCTGGAACATCCAGCCAACAATCAGGCTTGGCCTTGGCCCAGGCCCTGGGTGTGGGTGTGGATGTGGCCCCCAGGAACCGGCTCTCCCCTCCCTGTGGGCGCCAAAGGCATTGCATGCCTGGCCTGCCCCCTCGGCTCCTTGCATGTCCTTTAGTGCCAGGAGATGGCCTCCTCCTGTGCAGTTCAACGATTCGGGAATAAGAATTCAACCACCCGCTCCGGAAACATCATCCCTTCCCCAGACCACTGAAGGAGTCTGGAGATCAGCAGCCGCCAGCTGCAGCCACGGGGAGCTGCTGCTGATCTGGCAGAAGGGCCTCAGAGCCCTGCTTGGCCTCAGCCTGCGGGCTCACTAAAGGGTCAGCTCCTTGCTGGACAAGCAGTGCTGCCTTTCTCCAGGACCGGAGCAAACCACAGTTGGCTGAGGGGCACGGCGGGTTTCCCAGTGTTTGCTCCTTCCTTGATCTCTGTGGGAATTTCCAGCCCGGTACCAGGCTTGGCACCTCAATGCACACCCAGCCCCTTCCCCTTTAGCCCCATGCTGACTCTGTAAATCATTTCTCAGATAAAAGGAGCTCCTCATTTCAGCAATAAAAGCAAAGCAGTGTGTCAGTGTCTTATCTGCCTACAGATTTGCCAGCAAAGGTATGGCCTTGATCCTATCAGCAATTCACATCTTGGACTGCCAGAGAGAGCCACATACGTGAAGCAATTCTCCTCTGCTTGGACATTTTCTGTGCCGACATTTGTAGGCAACTGTGTCCATGGAAGCTGCACAGGGAGCCCCATCTGAGGGTCAGTTGTGATGGGCCCCTGGACTAGGTCTGGCCTTCTGAGACACAGACCTGGGCCCAGAGGGAGAAGAGACACGAGGGATGAGGCAGTAATAGGAGCCTGCAAGCAAAGCGGTAACCCAGTTCCCACCTCCTGCAATGGTCTGCTGGCAAATTCTCCACACTTCTAAGAACTGGTATTTTAAAGTTGGAATGTTATAAAAAGTCACTAAATGTCCAAGTTTGGATGCCAAAGATCAATGCTGCAAATATTCATGATAATAAATGTCAGGAAAAATTGGAGGAGAATTATAAGGATAACGTTCAAACTCAGTTGCTGGAAACACCAGCACTGGAAGTGTGTCACGTGTCTCACATCACTTTATTTGGACCCCAGTAAAAATAAGTCCTCTGTGAGCCCCATATCCCTAGACAGCTCTCTGCTCTGACTGGTGTTCTTCTTCTTTTCTAAGGGAATGTGCAGGTCTGCCTCCTCTGCTGAGGAGGGCCTGTAGCGCCAGTTATCCGTGCAGCTGGAGTGCCAAAGAAGCCAACCCTTTGGAAGATCCCAGTTCAGCCAGCAGGAATTGGTGAGAGGCGAATGCCAAAAGGTATAGACTTAGCATGCTGGAAGAGGCAAAACTGCACCAGAAGATCTTTGTCCATTGGACGACCCCCAATTACAGCTGACGGGTGGTCTGAGTCGCTATACTTCAATTTCCTCTATCCGCCAAGGGTGGTCGGAAAAATAGTCTTCCTCCACTGGAGGAAGTACTCCAGAGGATGTGACGTTGCGTTGAAGGAGGTAGGAACAGCAGCTGGCCATCTTGGGCAGATGTTAAGACTGCTGTGGATCTCACTGGTACGGACACCTACTCTGCAATCCCACCATATTCAGACTTTTACTACTCTCTCACCCAAGGAAAGGAAAGAGAATTTGCTTTGGCAGAACCTCAGAGGGTGAGCCCTGGTCTCTCGTCTCTGCCATTCAGAGCAGCGTGACAATGCAATGGTTGACGTAGAGAGGAGACAGAGGCTGAGCGGTTGCCTGCTGGGGATGCCTGAATTCCAGGATGTTCCAGGCTGGGGCCGAGCTCGCCCTGCCAGGCCTTTTCCGAACCGGGGCTCTGACGCTCTTCAACGCCAGCATTGGTTCCACCTTCACCAGCCACACATACCCTGCAGTGTGGTGCCAGGTGAGCAGAAGGCACACCAAAGGCCCTCAGGCGTTCTACTGGATCAGAAGTCTCTACCTCCTGCCTTCCTTTCTGACGTTGTACCAGTTCCTTGCACAGGATTGTTCCTCCTCCACAGTCGCGTTGCACTCTCCGAGCAACTGCTGAGAAGAAACGCACTGAAAACCTCAGATTGGAAAGCTGGTTCTGCCCAGATGTCTATGAAATTTGGCCAGATTAATCCCCTCCCTCAGAAGGGAAAGCTTGGTCTGCTGATTTCATCCAGCTTGACTAAGAAATGAAGAATGTCTGTAAACAATTTCCTTTCAAATTGTTTACAGGTCCATCCCCCAGCCCCGCTCTTATCTGTCTGAAATTCAGTACCGTTCTTCCCCCGTTAATGGTTATTCCTGAGCATTTCAAGCCGTTCCGTATAGACGTGTATGTGTATGATATATGTATATGTATATGTATACGCATATGTATTCTTTATTTTCCCCAATGATAGGCAGTGATAGAGAGATCTGGATTTCCAAACTGAAAATCAGACAAGGGCTTTAAAGTAAATCACAAGGCCTATGAATCAATCCCAGATTTTACTAAAAAAAGCCTATTGGGGTCCCACTGCACTTTAAGGCTGGTTACCCTCATCATATAAAAGTCTGTTTTCAATTCCTCTCTTCTTTGTCCTTGCACATACAATGAGTTTTTATCCTTGGCTACTCCTGTGCAAAACAGCAACTAGATAAGAGCTAAACAAACGCTTGTAACAACCCCAAAATCCACAATTGTTCGCATTTTGAAACATGGACTTTTTCTGGGATTTGTCAGTTAATTTCGGAACCAGGCCTTTTTTCAGGGCTGCTGAAAGGCACTCCTTCTTGCGCTGAGGTTCTTCGGAGGGCAGGGACCTCTGCCTTTTTGTACCCTGATTTCTCTGCATGGCAGAATTGGCCCCTGAAACGGTGAGGCCCTGGCCAGAGACATCAAGGGCAACGGGCTGCTTGCCGTGAAGGAAGAGGAGGAATTCTTGGTTTGGGGACGGCCATTGGTCTTGCCCACTGATGGACAGTGAGGCAGACATGGGAAGCAAGGAAGGGAGCTCAGATTTGGGGCCAGACAGATGAAAGTAGCTCTCAGGAAGCCAAGAGCGCCCAGCCCAAACCCAAGGGCCAGTGCCCCAGGCCGGTCTGGCTGCCCGCCCGCCTCTAGAAAGACCCCTACAGGGAGCCAAACACCTCCTCGCGTGTTCCACTCCTCGCATGTCCCACTCCTCGTGGCATCAGGCGCTCCGTCCACGGGTGCCTTGCTTCTCTAGTGCAGGGAAAGGATTTTGCAAAGGAAATTTCGGAATGCGCTCTGGCTCAGGAGAAGACCTTTGAAAGGCCCCGCGCCCTTCGCGCCAACTCTAGGGCTGGCACGAGCAGTTGGGCTGGGCAGGCAAGGCCCGGATGATGGCGAGGTGGTCCGGACAAGCCAGAGGGCGGTGGTGGTTTGCAAACGCTCTAGCCCCTGCAGCCGAGCCTCTCCTCCTGGAAGCCCCTGGCAGGCACCCTCGGCACCCCTTGCCCTCTTCCCTCCCTGCAACATGGCTGGTGGCCACAACACCAGCAGTCCGTCTGGCTCGTCCTCCACTAGGCACTGCGTCTTGCGTTGCCTGAAGGAAGAGGCTCTTGGCTCTGCCATTGGCCGGAGTGGTGCTCGCTGCCTCCCCGATTGGCTGGGGAGGGCTGCCGCAGACGCTTGCAAGGTTGGAGTACCTCCCACTCCAGGACAGGTGAAGATTTTCTGAAACAGATTGGGATTCTTAAGGCTACAGAGCACCTGGATTCCTCAAGATCAGGAACAGCAGGCAGGCATGCTGCGGAACGTCTGATTGTTGCCCCGTCCCAAAACTTGTTTTTCCTCTCTGATCTGGGTTTCGCAACTCAGCAAGGTGGGAGGGGGCACGCCAACAGGATGAGTGGGAGTGGGCTTGTCTTAAGCTCCCCAATTTCAGATGAAAGTACAGCCTTTATGCCCTTGAAGCCCGTTACGATGGCTAGGGAATCCAGTGACGACATGGCCGTCTTTGAAGACATCAAGCCGCCCATACGAATCTTGGAGAATCAGCAGGATTCGGCACAGGTAAGAGGAGTGTTGAACGGCACCCGAAGTTCTGGATAGGGGTCCAACGAAAAATAATGTTGCATTTGGGATGGGCAGGAAAAACATTCTTTCTAGGAAGTTGATAGCGTTGCTTTAATTGGAAAGGTGGATGAGATCAGTTATCAACAAGTTTCGAAATCAACCATATCCTTCTTTTCCCTCTGATTAAGGGTTTGGGGTGGGTATAAGGCAGAAAAGTCACTGAAGACTTTAGTCTGTTGGAAATGAATGCGGTTTGCCAGAATTTATGCTGGATCTGGATTTGGCCTGGAGCGAAATGCAAATCATTTTTTGTGTACAAGTGGGCGACAGATCAACTTCTGATGGACTGAAACAAGCAGCTGAGAAAACCGAAAGCTTTGATTTTGAGAAATGCGGCGTCTGACTTTGCCTTGTTCAGCGGTGCCAGGTATAAAGTTTCTAGAGGTGCTGTTGTCTTTGGGAACAAGCAAAGTCAAGGAAGCCTCCCCAAGTCCCTTGGGGTGGTTTTATTTCGTGCTCTGGGAAGGGCGGCGCGTCTTTCCTTAGGAAGAGCCAGGCTCTCTGGCCAGGTGCCTGCAGGGAGTTTCTGAGCCAGAAGAGCGAAAACCCTGCTCCAAAGGGCCTGCGGAGACTACGTGCCATTCTTGCCGTCTGGGCTGTTGTTTTTGGAAATCACTAGAATGGAATTCTCCTTGAGATTCCCCAGCTCCGTGCCCCCCCACCCTGCGAGATGGAGGTGGAGGCAAACCCAACTGGCACGCTGCTGCGCATAGTCACTCTGGCACCAGGCAAAAGATGCTGGTGGCTCGTTCCTCCCAATCTGTGAAAGAAACGCACAGGCAGCCTCGTGCTTTATAGGGCCAGGCCAAAGGCAGGAAGAAGGCCGTGCCGTTGTGCATGTGTGAGAGACTATCTCCTCGGCTGCTGAACCTGGTGGCCTGGCATTTGTGGAGGGGAGGGAGGGAGGGAGGGAGGGAGGGAGCTCTTCTTCGGCCCTCTTTTCAAGCCAATTCAAAGCAAGAGGTCCTCTTATGGCAGGGAGGTGGTTCTCCTCGGTGCTTTGCTCACCAGTGCTTGGAGGCCCCAGGGGTTGGCCCGTCCGCCCCTTCGTGGTCTAGGCAGTGTCAGCAGCAGCCCACGCTATGAAGCGCAAGGCAGGAACTGCAGCAGAAATCAGCTGACCTCAGAAAGGGTTCCTGGGATTCAGGGTCAGCGCTTATGTGGCCTGCAGGTGACCACGACGACGGGAAGATCTTCCCAGCCCCACGGACACGTTTCCATGACAGAGAAACTCCCTTGCCCCACATACTGTCCGCTTGCCATGCGGTGGCAGATACCAAGTGGAACCCTATCATGGGGACCTTGCCCTCTCAAGCCAGTCTGCTTATTCACCCTGGTTTTATGACCTGGATCCAAGGAGCCAGACAGGGCTTCTCGGAAGGAGCCAACCGCTGTAACTTGCTCATCATAAATTGTTGACATGAGTGCAGAAGAGGAGAGGCAGCTGGCTTACCCCCCCCCCAAGGATCCGTCTTCAGTGGGGGCCATCTGGGAGACAGAATTGGCTGACCTCCTTAAGGGGCCTTCTCGGACAAACTGTTCCAGAGGAGGACAGAAATGGGTCCACTTCTCCAGCGATACTGAAATTTCTCTTCTGTTTGCATAACATCAAAGGAAATTTTGATTTCAAGAGAATTGCCCCTTCAGTTTCCCATTTGCAGAGGTATAAAATTCCCACCCTGAGAGCATTCTTTTTCATGCCAACCCTCCCTCCATTTTCTCTTGCTCAATCGGCCCAACAAACTAGCTAATGATTAACCTCAAGTGCAAGGCTTCCTGGCGCCATCTTGTTGGCAGAGAGCACAGCGGGTCTTCAGTAAAGAATGCTGAGGAGGAGGTGCGGAGAGGTGCCCTGGCAAGCAAGGGGGTCCTCTTGACATTTGGCGGGAAGGCAGCTCTGAGAAATCATGAGCACTCTTGCATTCGTAACATTTAGGTCACACCGGTCTGTGCCCTCCCCTCTTAAAGAATCAGAATACCTCTTATTCTGGAATTTATGGAGGGGAACATCTGTCTCTGTGACTACCTCATCAACACTGTAATATCCCAGACTACCGTCCTAGCCACCATTTGAGAAATACTTTTAATCATGCCAGTTTGTACGGCCCGATTGATCCTGAGTGGGCCCATATTCTTCTTCATTCCCGAATGGGGCGAGGGGCAGTTAAAGGACTCCCCTAGGTTAGTAGGGTGCTAGCAAGCAGGATGGAGGCCTTGGCTCCTGCCTGCCTTTATGGCTGGTTCCTGGGGTTTCCTGGAATGCGCAATCTGGAGCATCTTTCAGAGCTGAGATCTGGCCAGGTTCTCTTGCTCTTTTGATCTGTGAACCGAAGACTTGGTTTTACTTGTCAGACAAGGTGACTTGGGCGGCTGGCAGCTGCCTTTTCCCTTACAAAGGTCATCAAAGTATGTCTTCTGGAAACTCCCTGGAACAAATGTATTTCCAGCCTCCAGCTCAACTTCCCACTTTTGAAACTCAAAGGGTATCACTTTGAGCTCCTCCCTCCCCCTCTCCAATCTCCATACTGGGCAGAGTTCTGCCTTAGATCGCCTTCCTTTGTCCCAACAAGTTCATCCTACTCTTTTGCAAAACAAACTATTTTATCGGAAACTTGCACTCAGGATCAGGCAACTAGAACTATGGCTAACCAAGCCGGAGTTGCCTCAGAGCACTGCGCAGCACTCTGCGGTGAATCCAGGCCTGCCCTAACCCTGCACTGAATCAGCCTTCCTCATGGTTCCTGGGAAGAGATGGCCCCGACAGAAGGGCTGCTCTTCAGCTCCGTCGGGAGGAGAGGCGGCCCATGCTCTCCGAGTCCCAGGCGCCGTGTGCAGGGAAAGGGCCCTTGGGGGCCAAATGTTAACAAAACGCTTTCTGTTCAGAAGCTGCTGTCAGCCCGTAAGCGCAGGCTGGAGTAATGGGCCAGTGGTGTAGCTCGATCGAAGGCAGTTGGTGCCTCAGGTTTCCACAGGAGATTTCAAGTGTCTTCGGCTTGTTCCTCCTTCCAGCAACCACATGGCTGGGCCACACTTCATCCCAGAAGAAGCCCCCCGGACAGGTTCCTGCACTGTCGGGAGATACGGTGCAGGAGGATCCTTGCAGGCCTTCCATTGAAGGGAAAACGTGCCAAGTGAACTGGGTGCCTGATACTGAATAAACATGGGTTCATAATTTGGTCACAGACACGCTACTTCATGATTTGTTGGCCCATTCAAACAGTTCTGGAAATATTATCTTCAAAACAGATGTGGCCTGTAGCAAAGAAGTACATTTTCTCACCCAGTCCTGATAGACATACTGTATACCCTTGTTCTTATACTACACATAGTATGGTATCCCCCAGGATTATTAATGTTGTCAGGATTTTGAGCTCCATCTAAGACCAGTTGGCAAGTTTACTTCAAGGTTGAGTGGACGTTTGACCAGGTGGACATACAGATACCCAAGAGGTAGACTGAGAGAGAGGACAGGGGTCCACGGTGGGTGTTGTCAGGGAGTATGGATTTGCAGTCAGCAAGATTTTCTGTTCCCTGGCTGGATCCTGGGACCTTACCTTGCTTGTCTGTGAAAAGGTAGCCTTGCACCGATCTGAGCGAAAGTTGCTGTGGTGACTTGACTCACCAAGATCCCACATTTGTGGTGGCTGTGAAATCTCCCTTATCTGACCTTCCCTCCCCAGAGCAATGTTTATTCCTCCAACCAGAAAAGACCTGTCAAAAACCTAAATGTGAAATCAAAAGAATGAAGCATTTTTCAGATTGTTGATTACAACAAGAACCACAATTGAATAAGACAGGATAAAAGCTTATCAAATTCTAGATTGCCAATGGTTATGAAAAGTTCTGAAATGAAATTTGGGCGATCTAATGCAAAGATCAACCCGGTGCCATTTTGGTTGCTGACTGATTTCACTGAAACACCACACAAGTTGAGGAAGCAAGCCTGCTCTGTTTCCTTGTAGGAAGCGATTCAGCAAATGCCAGCTGGTCCCTAGAGTCTTCTCCATGTCTGCAGCAGTGGTGGCAAGGGAGGGATCGGGGCCCTGCAACGCACACCCCCTTTGTTGTCTGGTTTCCTGGGTCCTTTTATCTCCTTGTGTGTCATTCTGCATCAGGACACATGGGCATCTACTTCTTTTGGGGACGGGGCGGTAGGATGATTTCAGAGAGCCAGATAGCTTTCGCCTGCGAAGTGAGAGGGCTGGGTGACCTGTAGTTACCTGAGATTGCAAGGGAGATCCGGCTGATCATCCGCCTGATCCACTTTGCCTCGCTCAGAGGAGCTGAACTATAACCCCCTCAATCCCAACTGGAGAGCTTTTCCAGCTGGAGGGCCCAGGTCTGGTTTCGGGAAGGCGGGCTTGTGGCTCATGGCATCCACGTCCCCCCATGGTTTCTGGCTAGACGCCAGGTGGTGCCCCAGGAAGAGCAGCCTGGAGTGGGCGTTGCCAGGCCCAAAGGAGTGGCACTGCCACCGCTGCCCATAAACTTCCACTGAGCACCCTGCTGACGTCATCAGACAGGAACCTGACACAACGTTTGCAACTTGAGAGAACTGGGATAAGTTGGGCCCCATCTATTGTTGAGGCTTACTTCCTGATCTGTCAGCGAAACGCTCGGTGGCAGAACAGACGTCTTCCTCCGTGGAAAACAAGGAAACTGGAAGAGGGCTGTGTGGTATCTCTGCCTGGCACCTCGGGCATCACTGGTTAGGGTCTGGGGGCTCTCCCTGGACCAGGCCGGGCGCCCCTCTTGCCCCAGTGTGCACCCCA